AGCTGGATCTATATCACAGTGAGAAGTATCGAACATACTGTTAGTGTGAACGTGCTTTATAATAACTATGAGGAAAACCTATACATTGGATAGGTGAAGTAAAGAAAAAGCGTTATTGGCTACTGATACTTTTATAATAACGTCCAGCTTATCTCTCTCTTTGGTTAACACGTGTTGATCAAAGTGTAGATTGAACTGGATCTCTCTTGAACTTAGACTTCGAAATTTTAAAAAATTCGGAATACGAAGTTTATTTATATAACTGCTAGTGTGCTGCTATATAATGTGAAGAACTGAATAGTGGCCATTGTCACTCTTTCTTCACTTCACCTCTCCAGTGTATAGGTTTTCCTCATAGTGAATAAAAGCACGTTCGCACCAACAGTATGCTTAATAGCGTGGTGTTGCCATTAAAATGCCAAAACAGAGAATTAACACCGTTTGACATGATCACAGTGAAATTTTCACATGATGCTGATTGGAGTTTAAAGAAAATTGAAATGACCTCGACTCTTCACAAAATATTATGAAATACACCTTAGACAGATGCAAGAAAACCCAGTTCGATAACATCAGACAAGGCAGGGAATGAGAAAAATAGACTTCTTTGAGGAAATGTTAAATGTGTAAAAATCAATTCCATAAAAGAAAAGCGAAAACTTTGTTGTTGAGATTAATACGTCACACAAAGATAAAATCTGAAGACGCACAATTGCAAGAATGCTGCAGAAACTTGGCTTTTGGAAAAAAGTGGCAACAATAAAGCCATTATTGTTCAAAGGAAATATAAAAAAGAAATGAGCTATTACGAAATAATATACATTCTGGTTCCTGGGACGGTGGCACAAGGTGATTTGAATAGACTAAATTTGAATTATTTGGCTCCAATCGGCGTGAAGATGTTCGTGGAATAATTAATGACACTTTGCAGAAGGAGAGTAAATTGTTTCAACAAGCAAGCAGGAGACTCTGTGATGATTTGGAGTGTAATATATGTGAATGTTGTTGGCCGACTTCACAAGATTGATGGGACCATGGACCAGTATAAATACCCCTATCTTGGCAAAGAAAGAAAGATCAGAAGATATCCAGTGAATGGAATGGCCGTCACGAGGTCCAGATCTTTAACTCCTTAGAACATATGTGGGATTTGCCGGACTTTATGCTCTGTCAGTGTACCAACTATACTAAAGAAAGCTTCGATAAATATGGAATCAAAATATATCATAAATTTGAAAATAAAATACATAGATACAATTCCACAAATTTGCCAAGATGTTGCTGATTCCAAAGATAGATCTACTGAACATTAGAACTGAAGAAACTTAAATACATTATTTGTGTACCAATTTTTGTAATGGTTTACTGTAAAATTAATTTCCAATAATTACAACAACTTTTTAAGCAAATCAATGAATATATATATTGTTTGTAAAGACGTGAAATGATAATTGTTGAGGTGTTCTAATACATTTACACATTACTGTATATATATATACACAAGATTGGCACAAACTTAATTTTTTATACGTCTATACTTTATAGGGGAACTATACATCCTACAGTTTTGTCACTTAATGTAGTTTATAAAGACACTTGCGGAATACATTTATTAAAACAAATATCATAGGTGGCGCTGCAAAATTACCTGGAAACCTTAAGTGCTTTTCACAAAACGTCATTAGAAATTGCAGTTGATTGTGTGAGTTTGAAGTCAGAGTTCAATCATTTACTTACCGATTAGTAGGATGTTTACAACTATCCTTGAAGTCAGAGTTCAATCGTTTACTTACCGATTAGTAGGATGTTTACAACTATCCTTGTAGTCAGAGTTCAATCGTTTACTTACCGATTAGAAGGATGTTTACAACTATCCTTGAAGTCAGAGTTCAGTCGTTTACTTACCGATTAGAAGGATGTTTACAACTATCCTTGAAGTCAGAGTTCAATCGTTTACTTACCGATTAGTAGGATGTTTACAACTATCCAACTATCCTTGAAGTCAGAGTTCAATCGTTTACTTACCGATTAGTAGGATGTTTACAACTATCCTTGAAGTCAGAGTTCAATCGTTTACTTACCGATTAGTAGGATGTTTCCAACTATCCAATTCTAACTTTACAGCAAAAACACGGATTCAGCAATAAATGATGTATGTGGCTGAAATGAACGGAGAATATATTGAACATTGGATGTATCTCGATTTGATACTATTGCTATATTTGAAGATGAAATAAAGGTTACTGTGGTTCGTGGTCATCTTTCAGTGCAACCTCGGGC